GATGATTCATGCGAGCTTGAAGTCGTCATTCGAGAATTTCTTCGCGAAGTGCTTCCTCTTCTTCACGGGCTTGACGGCCTCGGTCAGCAACGGCTCGACTCACATCGCGTAGAGCTTGTTGCGCCTCAAGTGCTTGAGCGTCACGGTGTTGTTGTTCTTTACGTTGAGCCTCGACATCTTGTGCATTTTGGTGTAGACGCGTGCGTTCTTCCTCTTCATGTTGGCGTTGGTGTTGTCGTTCTCGAGCTAGCGCAAAGGCTTCTTCGGCTTGACGTCGTCGGCTCTCTTGAGAGTCGGTGTCTCGAAGTGGATTGAGGTTTGCTTGACGGTCGGTGCGCGCGGCTCGACGAAGAGTGTTCGATGTCGGTGTACTTGAGCCAGAGAGGGTAAAGTCGGAATGGCGACTTGAACGGCTCCTTCTTGAAGTGGAGGAAGAGCGGTTGAGCAACAAAGCGCGAATTTCGTCCATCCTTGCGTCATTCTCTTGCTTGTGATCATCGAGCTTGTTATCAAAGTAGTCCCTCATATGTTGCTCGGAGAGTCGTAAGTTGGCGGCAAGGTTGTCGATGCGTTCACTCATAGCTTGTTGCTCTTGATGTAAAGCACGTTGTGCACCAAAGAGGTGACTCTTGGTGACGAAGGAGTTCATGTCATCATCTTGATCCATGAAGAGTGGGTTGGTAGAAGTAATTGGCCTATCCATCATTCCAAGACAAATGTGAGTGGTAGAAAGAGAAGAACGAATACCAAATGTACCTTGACCGAATTTGAAAGTGAATCGATGATCACTCCAATGTAGGACAAGGAAATAGCCCAATTGGTACGAATTCTCGTCGGTTTCTCACACCTACACAAGTAAAAGCTTATGGTGGAGCTTGGTTAGGATGGTGGCACAAAAATTTGATGCAATTTGTAAGTGAGCTTCAATAATGTTGGAAAAGATTCGCAAGATGCAATGTAACAAGTAGACCAAGCATATAAGGTACACAGAAACACACACGCAAAAAGATAAGTGGGGTTGTGCAACCAAGGGTGAGCCAAAGTGTGGAATCCACAAAAATGCTCTTGTTGCACAACACTAGAGAGAGCCTAGCATGATTGCACGATATGCGGATACAAGAACTTGTGCACAACCTACTTAGCAAAAATGCAACGATTTCTATCCCAAATATTTTGTATGCAAGGTGTGGCTATGATACGATCCAAGATGATTGAGTATGACAATCTTAATGTTGTATTATTCTATGGTTCTTGCTTAAAATCTCTTTGCTTATCTTTCCTCTTTGCTTAAAAGCTTGTTTGGCTCTTTGATGTTTGAGCTCTTTTCTCATGCAATGCTTGACGAACCAAGATAGCAAGTTAGTATGCGATGACAATTTGGTGACACAAGAGATGATACCAATATAGGCAACAATGACGTATGTATGCTATGGGAAGTATGATCACTAATGTACACAAGTCTCGTTGCCGGCAATACTCAATGGCTAGTCTCGATGGGTAAGCAACGGAAATGAGTAAGGCTATGATGGCTATCAATGTAATGGCAAGAGTGATATGTCCAATAACAAGATGAGGTTACCGGTCTTGCTTCCGGTATGGTGTCAAAATGGTGGCACGAATACCACGATGTAGTCGAGGTAGTCGTTGTTGATGACGCGTCCATGGCGAAGATGAGCGGCGGTGGTGTCGATCTCGAACCGTACCTAAATAGCCGAAACACAAAAGGATACGGTACTGCAACTCAAATTCTCAAACCTCGAAGTGGCAACATGTGTCGGAGTGCGAAACGGGCACAAAGGGGGTAGTATGCGGAAGTGGTGATGGTGTATAAGTGGTTGGCAAAGATGCCAGTCGGTTTCAACTGAAACTGGGTGGGGCGGTAGTACCGCTTGTGAAGGCGGTGGTACCAGTTGGTGCCTTAGCGGTAGTTCCGCTCGTGGGGGCGGTAGTACCGCTGGGGTCGGGAAAATCGCAAGATCTGGATCGGGGATGGGTTTTTGGGACGGAAAGGGATGATTTTGTTGTCGAAATTCGAGCGATTTCAAGGATGGAATGTGGAGAGAAATGGGGAGATGCTAGATCCACTTGAAACCAAGCAAATCCACGAATCAGATCCAACAAAACATCAACACACCAACAAATCACAAAAAAATTGGGGCTATTTTTGGTGGGGATTTTCGAATTTAGGATGAAAAATAACAAAATAAGGCTAGCAACACAACGGGGAGGCTCCGAAATCGTGATCAACCTTGCTCATGATACCAAGATGATGTAGGGTAGAGACCCTAATTGCCCGATCTTTCACGAAAGGAGCGGATCCTGGGGAAAACACGAAGAACACGGGGATGAACGGAAGGAAAACACAAGAGGAAAACACTATACCGACACGAATAAGTCACACATGGGCTAGATCCTTGAGTACATAGGACGATACACGAATCCACGAACAACTAGGGAGGATACATGGTAACCGGTTCTTCTCCGTGAGGACGTCTTGAATCCACAAGGGGATCTTCCCGTAAAGGGGTCTTGAATCCAAGGTGGATCTTCTCCGTAGAGGGGCCGCGGTCTCTCTCGTGGAGTAGATCCGATATGGATGAGCAATGCTCTATCTCTCAAATGAGCTAAACCAATGCTAACCCTAGAAAGTTGTACGTGATAGAGTATTTATAGTCTAGGTAACGAAAGGGTACACGGGCCTTGGCCCAAGCGACTGCGCGCAGGCAGGGCCGGTAATACCGGTCAAGGGGGCGGTTGTTCCGCTGGGAGCTCATGCATGGCAGAAGTACCGGTCCTGGAAGGCGGTAGTTCCGCTGGGAGGTCTGGCGCTGGCTTGCGGAGATGGACGTCGAAGGGGCCAGCGGTTGTACAGGTTGTCGGGCGGCAGTACTAGTCTTTTGGTAGTTACCGGTACATCCGGTGTAGTGCCGGCCTTGCACCGCTCGATCACAGAAGGTAGACCGGTTGTTGGGCGGTAGTCGGCCGGTTGTTCCGCCCGGGCGGTGGTCGGGCGGTTGTTCCGGTCCTTCAGGGCTGGGCAGAATGTCTCCATGTTCTTGATGTCCATCTTGCACCGTTCCATCTCCTTGGTTGCTTACATGGTACCTAAGCACACAAAGCAACTCCGATTGAGGTAGTAGCCATGTCTCACGTGGGTCAAAGGGAAGTTCAACAAGGAGAGAGTTAACCTCGTTCCTGATGGTTCTCGCACGGGCTCTTGTCATGGGTCCAAGTGGTGTCATGGGAGATGTAGGTAGGTCCATGGGGATGGCCTTGGGATGCTCCGCATCAAAAATATTTGTTTGAAATTTAGCTCTTGCCAATAATTCTATGGAATAACAGGAACATTTTATTGGACTCATTTGAGAAGATTTTTAAAATTGGTTATTTTTGAACTGATTTCTTAGGGTTTCAACAAACCTCAATTCAACTTTCAGAAATTAGACATGATGCATGGATGCTCTCTTATGCAACTATTGCAAACAATTCTAGGGCTGTGACAGTTTTTCTTGGGAAAAGAAAAAAATCGTTGTTGATTGACTGAGAGTGTCACATGATTCTATTGGGCTTGTTGTCTGACGATCAATTTTTAAATCAGAACTAGAATCATAGGATTAAATTGGTCTCCTCACTGCACCAAGTTAATGATGCAGAGCACTGTGGGGTGCAGGTGCAACCTTTCATCCACAATTGCACGCATCAGCCTGTACATGAATCACCCCGAATCATTTGAAGGTTGATCACAAATCCACCTTCAGAACAATTTCCTGATGACACATGTGTTTGCAGTACCTGCAGGATTTCCAGCCAAGCAAGAAAAAAATAATAATCAGAAACTTGGCAGGTTGATGGCTCAAGTCCAAATATCGTAAAATGGTCAGATACCCATGTCCAGGTATTCAAGCTGCCTACTGAATCCTAACATTCAAAACCACGTACAGGCCAGCGAAAAGATATTTTGATAAGATAAACCGAAAAGAAAGCACATAATTGAGAAATAAAAAGGGCCGCAGTGGATAAATCTTTCGAGACTGGGCAGCAGCGAATTGGAAGCGGACAGGCCAGCGCACTGTACAAATAATCACTCACCGCCTCATCTACACTAAGCTCAACCGGCAAATGCAAGGAAGCAACTTGGCTTGTATTACTATATCTATCAGTCTCTTTGTACAGAATATTCTTTGATCCCAGATTCCCAATCTGCTATAGTATGAAGTTGCTATCTTGCTAACATGTGAGCGTGTACGATGTAGCTTGACCATATGCAATTATTCGAAGGCTCTCCCTCCTGATTGGCCCATTTCTGCAGTTGCACATGGGACTGACTCTCTGAGATGCTACAATGGATATTACTCTTCGCCAACGTCCAATAAACATTGGTGCATTATTGTGATTATTAGCTGGTGTTCGCACCTCATGTGCCCTGATGACAAAAGAGAGTTTAATACTGCTAACTTAGTGCCTAAGACTCACCTACCAAATGTTTTTCTTGGAAAAGAAATCAATGCTATTGATTGATTGAGAGTACATCATGATTGTATTTGATTTTCTCTCCTATGATAGATTTTAAAACCAAGACTAGGATCAGAGGATTAAATTGATCTCCTCATGGTATCAAGCCAATGATGCAGTGCGCACATATAAGTAGCACCAGTATGAGACCTATCTTGACACGGATATATGCATTTGTTTCTCACACTCATACATAGCACCATGGGCCGGGTGAGAAGATTTTACCAGGATTTCATCCATATCAAGCTGCATAGCTTCTACCGTATCAGTAGATATGTTGTCGATCCAATAGCTTTTGTCTACCGATTTGTTGCATTGCATGTTCACCCCTTCTTGATCCAACTGTCCTACTTCCTTGCCATTGCTGTACTTGGTTCGGTCCTCTTGATGTGCTGAAACCAAGCAATCCTGACTTCAGCCCTCCTTACACTAACATGTTATTCTTGTCAACTTCTTCTCTAACAGTTTCTGGCCTCAGCACCATCACGATGGAGGATCTCTCAAGCTCTCAAATTGTGGTCTTGACGCTGTTCATGCTTGTAGGAGGGGAGATCTTTGTTTCACTCTTGGGCCTCATGCTTAGAGTGAACCATCAAGACATGCAAGATCTTCCGAATGTGAAGATCAGCTCGGTTCCCGTCGAGCTTGAAGAGATAGACTCGGCGAACAACGCGGCACAAAGTGATGAGTCACAGCTTGAAGAAGCAGCTCATGCAATTCCACCCAAGAAATGTACAGAGTTGAAGAGGAGTAGGACTGTCAAGTGCTTAGGATATGTGGTCTTTGGGTACTTTGCCGTGATCCATGTCTTGGGCTTTCTGCTGGTTTTTCTGTATATAACTCATGTGCCAAGTGCAAGTGCCCCACTGAACAAGAAAGGGATCAACATCGTGCTCTTCTCACTATCAGTCACCGTCGCCTCCTGTGCGAATGCAGGACTCGTGCCCACAAATGAGAACATGGTCATCTTCTCAAAGAATTCAGGCCTCTTGCTGCTGCTCAGTGGCCAGATTCTGGCAGGCAACACATTGTTCCCTCTCTTCCTGAGACTACTGGTATGGTTCCTGGAGAGGCTCATAGAGATGAAGGAGCTGTGGCACATGATCAAGAACCCTGAGGAGGTGCATTTTGCTAATCTGCTTCCTAGGTTGCCAACTGCATTTCTCTCCTCGACGGTCATTGGCCTTGTAGCAGCTGGGGTCATGATGTTCTGCGCTGTTGATTGTAATTCTTCAGTGTTTGATGGGCTCAGCTCTTATCAGAAGACTGTCAATGCATTCTTTATGGTGGTGAATGTGAGGCACTCAGGGGAGAATTCCATTGACTGCTCACTCATGTCACCCGCCATTGTAGTACTAATATTCATTGTCATGATGTAAGTTGATGACTGCATGACACTTCATTAATTGATGTTTCATTTCATATCATTTGATAAGTAGTAGTACTTACTTGCTTTAGAATCTCAAGATCCATGTGCGACAATTTACTTTTTGGTCTCAGGTATTTGCCATCAACAACAACACTTACACCACCCAATGGAGATATTAAAACCACCGATGAGAACACGAAAGGCAAGAGAGGCAAGAGAGGGTCGTTGGTGCAGAAATTGGCATTTTCACCACTCGGGTTTAATGCGATCTTTGTGGTAGTTGCCTGCATCACTGAAAGGAGAAGGCTCAGAAACGATCCACTTAACTTCTCAACCTTGAACATGATATTCGAGGTCATCAGGTGTGTTTTTCTTTGATATAACTGAAATATTTCATTATTCTGCCGGTTGGCAAAGATGGAGAAAAGACAACACGACAATGGTTGCATAGACTAATGGTAAATAGCAGTTGCAGCATAGCAGAAGAGTGAAGTAAGTTCATAAACAGACCACTTTGTGTTTGCAAGAGCTAAACACGATATACTAAACTAAACTCTCTTAGGACACAAAATCTAACTCGTGAATGCCTTTGACTAAGGTGAATAATTTTGTATGCTTTGTTTTGCAGCGCATATGGTAATGCAGGTTTATCCACTGGTTACAGTTGTTCTAGGCTGCATCAGCTGCACCCAGAGATCATCTGCCAGGACAAGCCATACAGCTTTTCTGGATGGTGGAGTGACAAAGGAAAGTTTGTGCTAATCTTGGTCATGCTCTATGGAAGGCTTAAGGCCTTCGCAATGGCCACGGGTAAATACTGGAAAGTATGATACAAGTGGCCAAGATTACTTGGAAAGGCAAATGTACCAAAATGGTATAGCTGTCGCTAGTGTACTGCCTGCAGAATCAGGTTTCTAATTGGATTATAGTTTGTGCATGTTGCGCTTGCAAAGGACAAGCTTCGGTTCCCCTGATCAAGTCATCTTTGCATTTGGCAGTCATCATCAAGGTATCAATGCAACTGAAGAACTGAGCCATCTGTTGATGTGTTGCATGCTAGATGTAACCACATGAGTTCCCCGCAATTGCAATTGTAGCGAAAGAGAAAGCAAATATTATTTGCATTGTTGGAGTGGAGTTAATATTATTGCACACAATTTACAATACAGATAAATTTTGTGTTGCTTTACCGCTTTGGCACCAAGTTTATAGACACGAAATGATAGTGTTGTTTATCACTGTGCTACATAGAAGTTCAAGGAGAAACTAGAAAAAAGTTTGGTTAATTATCAAAATTCAAAGCCTAAAATTTGCATTCAAATAATGCCTCGGTATATTTGTTGAGGTCTTTGAACAGTGTTCCATAAAGTTAATTGACCTTACTGATGAGTTAATCAACAGGCTGGGCTAACATGGAAACCCAGCTAACAGGTCTGAGTTATACGCTAATGCTTAAGTGCTTTGTATATTTATTTGAAGAAATAACTCTACACGCAGATCACTTAAGGCCAGTAGGGAGGCCAGAGTCAAAACAAACACACAAATCATGCAAGTGGATAGAGCTATCGAGTTTGCTAAGCCTTCTCTGGTGTCTTTTTAGAAAGTAGTAATTCATTACCATCTTCATAACAGTAACAATTACTCTGTTTAGCTCGAGCTTTTAGTCGAGCAACGCCTTTCCATTTGAACAATCATCATGTTCGCATGTCGGCCCTAAGAGCAGTCCCAGTCGTATGCCTTAGCACATGCATGTTTCAACTGCAAGAGATGTTTTAACAAGGAAAGGTATCAACTCCATGATTTTCTTTATATCGATCACTGTCTCTTGTTTCACCAACGGAGGACTGATGCGGCCGATGAACGAAAGCCTGGTGGTGTTCTCTTGGGACTAGGGCTTCACTGGCCAGATTCTTGTAGGAAAAATTGAAACACAGGGTTTAGGGTTTTGCGTGGGTGGTTGACATCCAGCCTCACGTCTCAATATATAGATGATCACAATTACAATTACATACGTGTACAAGGACAATATATTAGACCCTATTTTACATGCCCCCTCAATCTGAACAACATACAAGATTCAGATTGGTTCTAAAACGGTCTAGCATCTGTCTAGTAGTGGGTTTAGTAAATACATCCGCTAACTGATCATCTGTAGAAATAGACATGACTTCCAGTTCACAAGCAGCTACCCGTTCTCTCACAAAGTGAAAATCAATCTCAATGTGTTTAGTCCGAGCATGAAACACTAGATTCGCCGTCAGGTAAGTTGCCCCTAAGTTATCACACCACAATATAGGAGTGCGTGATGTCTACTACACAACCTTCTTCTTGTAGACGTTGTTGGGCCTCCAAGTGCAGAGGTTTGTAGGACAGTAGCAAATTTCCCTCAAGTGGATGACCTAAGGTTTATCAATCCGTAGGAGGCGTAGGATGAAGATGGTCTCTCTCAAGCAACCCTGCAACCAAATAACAAAGAGTCTCTTGTGTCCCCAACACACCCAATACAATGGTAAATTGTATAGGTGCACTAGTTCAGCGAAGAGATGGTGATACAAGTCCAATATGGATGGTAGATAAAGGTATTTGTAATCTGAAAATATAAAAACAGCAAGGTAACTAATGATAAAAGTGAGCATAAACGGTATTGCAATGATAGGAAATAAGGCTTAGGGTTCATACTTTCACTAGTGTAAGTCCTCTCAACAATACTAACATAATTGGATCATAAAATTATCCCTCAACATGCAACACAGAGTCACTCCAAAGTCACTAATAGCGGAGAACGAACGAAGAGATTATGGTAGGGTACGAAACCACCTCAAAGTTATTCTTTCCAATCAATCCGTTGGGCTATTCCTGTAAGTGTCACAAACAGCCCTAGAGTTCGTACTAGAATAACACCTTAAGATACAAATCAACCAAAACCCTAATGTTACCTAGATACTTCAATGTCACCTCAAGTATCCGTGGGCATGATTATATGATATGCATCACACAGTCTCAATTCATCTATTCAACCAACACAAAGAACCTCAAAGAGTGCCCCAAAGTTTCTACCGGAGAATCACGACGAAAACGTGTGCCAACCCCTATGCATAGGTTCCCAATGTCACGAAACCCGCAAGTTGGTCACCAAAATGTACATCAAGTGGCACGTGGTATCCCATTGTCACCACAGATATCCACGGCAAGACATACATCAAGTGTTCTCAAGTCTTTAAAGACTCAATCCGATAAGATTACTTCAAAGGGGAAACTCGATTGATTACAAGAGAGAAGAGGGGGGAAGAAACATCATAGGATCCAAATATAATAGCAAAGCTCGCGATACCTCAAGATCGTATCATCTCAAGAACACGAGAGAGAGAGAGATCAAACACATAGCTATTGGTACATACCCTCAGCCCCGAGGGAGAACTACTCCCTCCTCGTCATGGAGAGCACCGGGATGATGAAGATGGCCACTGGAGAAGGATTGCCCCCTCCGGCAGGGTGCCTGAACGGGTCTAGATTGAGTTTCAGTGGCTACGGAGGCTTCTGGCGGTGGAACTCCCGATCTATGTTGCTCCCGGATGTTTTTAGGGTATATGGAGATATATAGGCGGAAGAAGTACGTCAGGGGGGCCACGAGGGGCTCACGAGGCAGGGGGCGCACCCAGGGGGGGCGCACCCTCCACCCTCGTGACCTCCCCAGAAACTTCTTGGAGTAGGGTCCAAGTCTCCTGGATCACGTTCGGTGAGAAGATCACGTTCCCGAAGGTTTCATTCCATTTGGACTTCGTTTGATATTCTGTTACCTCGAAATACTGAAATAGGCAAAAAACAGCAATTCTGGGCTGGGCCTCCGGTTAATAGGTTAGTCCCAAAAATAATATAAAAGTGGAAAATAAAGCCCAATATAGTCCAAAACAGTAGATAAAGTAGCATGGAGCAATCAAAAATTATAGTTACGTTGGAGACGTATCAGGCATCCCCGAGCTTAATTCCTGCTCGTCCTCGAGTAGGTAAATGATAAAAAGAGAATTTTTGATGCAGAGTGATACTTTGGCATAAATTTCGATGTAAATCTTCTTAATCATGGTATGAATATTCAGATCTGAAAGGTTCAAGACAAAAGTTCATATTGACATAAAAAATGATAATACTTCAAGCATACTAATCAAACAATTATGTCATCTCAAAATAACATGGCCAAAGGAAGTTCATCCCTACAAAATCATATAGTTAGGCTATGCTTCATTTTCGTCACACAAAGATGTTCCCAACTTCTATACCCCTGATGACAAGCCAAGCAATTGTTTCATACTCAAATAATCTCAAACTTTTTCAACCTTCACATAATACATGAGCGCGAGCCATGGACATAGCACTATGGGTGGTATAGAATATGATGATGGGGATTGTGTGGAGAAGACAAAAAAGTAGAAAGTCTCACATCAATGAGGCTAATCAATGAGCTATGGAGATGCCCATCAATTGATGTTCATGCAAGGGGTAGGGATTGCCATGCAACGGATGCACTAGAGCTAAGAATGCTCAACAAAAGAAAACTAGTGGGTGTGCATCCAACTTGCTTGCTCATGAAGACCTAGGGCATTTTGAGGAAGCCCATCGTTGGAATATACAAGCCAAGTTCTATAATGAAAAATTCCCACTAGTATGAACAAGACAACTTATGAGACTCACTACATGAAAATCATGGTGCTACTTTGAAGCACAATATATGAGACTCACTACATGAAGAACAAGGTGCTACTTTGAAGCACAACTGTGGAAAAAGAGATAGTAGCATTGCCCTTTTTATTCTCTCTTTTTTTGGGCCTTTCTTTTTTTTTGGCCTTTCTCTCTTTTTTTTGATTGGGCAATGCTCTAATAATGATGATCATCACACTTCTATTGATTACAACATAATGATTACAACTCGATACTAGAACAAGATATGACTCTATATGAATGCCTCCGGCGGTGTACCGGGATGGTGCAATGAATCAAGAGTGACATGTATGAAAAATAATGCATGATGGCTTTGCCACAAATACGATGTCAACTACAAGATCATGCAATGGCAATATGACAAAAGTAAAGCATGTCATGATGATGATGATGATGGTGGAAGTTGCATGGCAATATATCTCGGAATGGCTATGGAAATGCCATGATAGGTAGGTATGATGGCTGTTTTGAGGAAGATATAAAGAGGTTTATGTGTGAAAGAGCGTATCATATCATGGGGTTTGGATGCACTGGCGAAGTTTGCACCAACTCTCAATGTGAGAAAGGGCAATGCACGGTACCGAAGAGGCTAGCAAATGGCGGAAAGGTAAAAGTGCGTATAATCCATGGACTCAACATTAGTCAAAAGAACTCATATACTTATTGCAAAAATTTAGAAGACATCAAAAATCAAGTACTACGCGCATGCTCCTAGGGGGATAGATTGGTAGGAAAAGACCATCGCTCGTCCCCGACCGCCACTCATAAGGATGCACAAGCCAGGTACACTTCATGCTTCAAATTTGTTACACAACTTTAACCATACGTGCATGCTACGGGACTTGCTAACTTCAACACAAGTATTTCTCAAATTCACAACTACTCAACTAGCACGACTATGATATTATCACCTCCATATCTCAAAACAATTATCAAGCATCAAACTTATCTTAGTATTCAACCCACTAAAAAGAAAGTTTCACATATCTTGAATACCAAGTATATTAACATTAAGCAAATTACCATGCTATTAACGACTCTCAAAATAATCTAAGTGAAGCATGAGAGATCAAGTTTCTTTAAAACAAACCACCACCGTGCTCTAAAAGATCTAAGTGAAGCACTAGAGCAAAAAATTATCACGCTCAAAAAGATATAAGTGAAGCACATAGAGTAAACTATCAAGCTCAAAAGATATAAGTGAAGCACATAGAGTATTCTAACAAATTTCAATTCATACATGGCTCTCTCAAAAGGTGTGTACATCAAGGATGATTGTGGTATACTAACAAGCAAAGACACAAATAATACAAGACGCTC